GTGGATTCACATATTGATCAATAATATAAAATATACACGTGTGTGATTATAATTAATAATTAACGTGAGTAGTAGCAAAAATATTTTGGGTGAGATGTTCGGGGTCTCTGAGACCCCAGCTAGAACATGATAAAATGCAATAGAGGTGTGACGTGCATTCAGTTTCTGTCTGGTGTTGAGGTTATTCTAAACTATTCTACTGAATCCCAAATAAGTGTACACACACACACAACAAAGTCAACGTAAAGTCAAACACAAGAGTCATGCGAAGCATCGATTTCTTTTCAAACCAGCTGTCCCGACCTTCCGATACTGCATGACGTTCGAAACTTCAAACGTCATCAATCACGTGGTATTGTCATTTTGATACAAGCATCGGCACAGTGTGTGATACTATAGTGCTTTGAATACTGCGTCGGAGCATTGGAGCCTCGGTATCAATCGTCCCATCACTACGAAGAATCCAGCGTTACGTAAACAGTGGATGCAGTTCGTTTTCCGGGGCAGCAATGGAGTTTCGCAAGTGTGTTTGTTGACGAACATTTTATAAACAAGACCCAGTTTGACGCTGGATTTTCACATCATTTGATACTGAAAGATGGAGCGGTCCCAGCAATAAAAGATCACGGTCATGATTCAGAACTGCAGATGGTAAGTGAAACGGGATCAAATGTCTGTGTTTTGTTGGCTATCGGGCAAGTGCTCGTCACGCTTTAGCTCCGCCCACGGCACGCCTCCAGGAGCTCGGCTGTTTTCGGAGAGAATCGTAAAGCTGTATCTTTCTTTTATAAATATGATAAAACTAAAGACTTTTTGGAGATATGAAGGATGCAGTACTACTCTATAGGTAATCAAGATTAATATGAAATTGGGTGAAATTGTGTGTGTTAGGTCCCCTTTAATATTTGTCTCAGTTCAGTATTTCATGTCCGTTTTTTTAAGTAGCCATGTATAAGTGGGACCTGTTATTATTGCAAAATAAACAGCTTTATGATGTAATAATAACCAGCTCATTAATAAAAACCACAAACAATATAAAATTAAGTTGCTTTGTACTTTAACTTTATTTTTCCCAACACAATTACAAATTTGAACACCACCAGAAAGCAAAGACCCATGATACATATTCAATTATTCCTCATCTTCAGCATCCATACAGCTTGTTGATCCTCAGGATGTCGGTGTTGGACATTCCCTGCCTCTGTCCGATTTCCACCGTCTCATCAGGAATGGGAGTGATGGTTTCCAGCTCGGGCTGGATGGAGAAGGCTGTTCTTCCATAGTGCATGATGGAGCCGTAGTCGTATGGAGTGTTTTGGTTGTTGGTGCTTTGTTTCTGGAAGTTGTAGGCCATATCAGGAGACATGTTCTCCCAGTTGATCTTGACGTACTCATCACGATCGCTCCTGGTTTGCTCGTGGTAGAAGCCCAGGGCATGATTGAGCTCATGCTGAACGATGCCGTGATACACACAGCCTTGCCTGTTGAGGGAGACCACCTGCTTGCCACCAGTTCTGCCAAGAGAAGAGTAGCACCTGAGAGGAGAGAAACAAGAGATGTTATACAATATCAACCTGATTTAAAATTGTGTTGTAAAACACAAGTCCAGAAGGTATGATTGTTCTTACCCATCTTTGTTCTCAATACTGATGTAGTCGCTCTGAGTTGATCTGGCCACAAAGCGGATGCAGGTTTTGGAGTGAAAGGTGGACATGGCATTTGCAATCACTGATCTGTCATAATAAGCTGCAAATGTAAGTGGCAATGGTTTAAAATGACATCTTCATGAATGTGTTCAATGATTTGATCGATGATTGAAGGAGATTCACTCACAGAATTCACCGCTCACTATGTAAGGGATCTCCACTATGTTGTTAGAGTTTTTCTTCCAGAAACAGTTGTTGTTAAAGCAGTAGAGAGCATTTCTGGTTTTGGGAAACACCAGATCTCCTTCAATCAAGACTTCAGAAGATCCTGCATTTAAAGAGAAACATACTGATGAAATAACTGGACATATTTATAATCTTGACCACATTTTAACACTATTTTTTGAAACCCATTGCTGACTTCACAGAAATCTACAAGGTGCCTGACCATTGTTGGACTCCAAAATCCTTGTAGTGATGTCCACAGCTTCAGGCTCTGACACAAACACTCCTTCAAGCCTTTCATCCTGGTGACAGAAACAGAGATGTTTAAAATGGCTAATTTGAGGAACCTTGATTGTTTAGGGAGAGACCGGATCTTACCATGAGAGGAGACGCCTGTGAGACGCCAAACAGCAGCAGCAGAATGGAGAGGGAGGCTCTTGTGTCCATGTCGTCTCAGTGTGTAGAGATGTTCAGGATGCTCCTGTGCTGAGCTTTGGTGTCTCTGTGCTGTCAGACCTGGACTTTATATTCACCTGAGTAGGTGGGTCTGCTGGGGGATTATGGGTAGGGTTTTAGTGTCCAGAGACTAATGTGTGTAACTAAAGGGAGGAAACTCTGACCTCGCCTGTTAGTCCAAAAACGCACAGAATCAGAAATGGTTCCTACATTTGTTTAACTAATCCACTAAAATCAACATTCCCTTGCATAATTTGTTTATAGAACATATGTACATACAATATATGGTCTTTATTGCATATTGTTTTTCATACTTATTTTTATGTCACTTGTTTTTATTTTGTTGTTTCTTGTCACTTGTCACCCTGTCTGTGCACTGGAAGCTTCTGTCACCGTGTGTGTAAGCACACTTGGCAATAAAGCTCTTTCTGATTCTGAAGTTTCCATGGATTTTAAGTGCATCAAAACAGTGGAGTACAGGGATGTTTCTACAAAGCTTGAAGTGTCACAATATACAGTCTTCCCAGAATTATCATTAAAAAATGTACTTAATATGCAATCATAGTTGGAAATTATACAGCTCTAGTAATTTCATAGTAAGACCTTTGTTGGACTGAGACACCTTTTAAAGGCACCCACACTCATACTATAGAACTGTCAACTTGAGCAATAATATTTTTTACAATACCAACTCTTTCTCCACCAGCCTTTTGTGAAACTAAGTATTATTCAGACATATCTCCAATCTAGAGAAGTCAAGTACAACTGACAGTAATGGAAAGTCTACCTCAAGAAACAGAACTTTCAAATCACTAAACTGTCAGAGTATTTAGTTTAGATCAACAAAAATCTGAAGTGATCATCTGAAGAACAACAAGAGCCAACAATGAGAAACTATCAATGCACTGATGATTATTACATAATATTATTAGTCCAATTATTACAAAGGATCCCAACAACTGACTAAAAAAGTTTTGTTTTTCAATGCTTAAAGTTCTGGGGACTCTTTCTGTACAGTAAGCTACTGTTTTGGCACACTAAGAAAGCAAAAGCTACAGCATGTCCACTTAAATGTTACCAGTAAATAACTTAATGGTCAGAGTATTTCCTGTTTCTGCATGGATTTCGAGTAATAAGCAAGGTCAGAAATTTCCAACCCAGTCTCATAAAAATACGTATCTCTGGGTGCTTTTCTGCAACACCGTTTTTACGTACCTTACTGCACGTTTCGCCACAGTTTCAAAGAGAAATGTCCACTGAGTGGCGCTAAAACACGGGTTCAATACGTGAACTCTGGCACGTTTTTATTACGTGGATATAGGTACGTATTGCTGTGTTTTTATTACGTTGGTTCAGGTACGTATTGCGGCGGTTCAGAATTCAAATATCCAGGGACTGTCGCTAAAAGTTAATGCTCTATCGTGTTGGAAATATGCCCTACACCATACCCAACCCTAAACCTACCCGATAGTGTTAACAAATGCAAAACTAATATAAAAATGCATATGTTGATGCAACTGTGTCATTTGAACTTACTTATATGCAGATTTGAGCAGTTTTGTCGAACCGTAGTTACACAAGATTCGAACCGGAGCTCCTCGCCTCTCAAGTACGTCTCCGTACTCTGTGAGCTACCGAACAAACCTACCGTCGATGAAAACCCATTGATATGAAGCTGGATATGTGCGGTGCTAAAGTTCAAAAGCACCAGTTTTCAAATCTCCCAGCATATTAAAATTGTTTTGAAGTCATAACATGATATTCTTCAAGTAATTGTGCGAAAATTACGCTTTATTAATCGAAACTCTGTAAATGTGTGTGAAAAGGAATAAAAGGTGTCGGAGTTTTACTGCCTCTAGTGTTCATTTCTTTTGGAAACTGCAGTGATATGTACTTATTGGTACGTATTTCGCGTCTCGCGAAAATGTGCCCCCGGGTACGTTTTTGCCATGAGACCAGGTTGCAAATTTCACCTATTAGCTACCTATTTGTTCACCTATTTATTTCACCTAGTAGTTACGCACATTAGTCTCTGGACACTAAAACCTTACCCATAATCCCCCGGAAGTCCCACCTGCTCAGGTGAATATAAAGTCCAGGTCTGACAGCACAGAGACACTAAAACTCAGCACAGGAGCATCCTGAACATCTCTACACACTGAGATGACATGGACACAAGAGCCTCCCTCTCCATTCTGCTGCTGCTGTTTGGCATCTCACAGGCATCTACTCTCACAGTAAGATCCTGTCTAGTCTCTCCCTAAACAATCAAGGTTCCTCCAAATGTGCATTTTAAACATCTCTGTTTCTGCCTCCAGGATGAAAGGTTTGAAGGAGTGTTTGTGTCAGAGCCTGAACCTCTGGATATCACTACAAGGATTTTGGAGTCCAATAATGGTGAGTGGATGTCCTTCATTCATTGAACATATCTATGATTCATGTAGACCTCATTTTAAATATGTGGGCCTTTTTGTTTACAGCCTATAATAACAAATTAGTTATCGCAAATGCCATGTCCACTTTTCACTCCAAAACCTGCATCCGCTTTGTGGCCAGATCAACTCAGAGCGACTACATCAGTATTGAGAACAAAGATGGGTGAGAACAATCATACAGTTTCAACAAGAAATATTTATCAGTCCTTAGTCCAAAGGACCAAAAAAATAAATAATAATTTAACCCTATTACTTCCTCTCTCCTCTCAGGTGCTACTCTTCTCTTGGCAGAACTGGTGGCAAGCAGGTGGTCTCCCTCAACAGGCAAGGCTGTGTGTATCACGGCATCGTTCAGCATGAGCTCAATCATGCCCTGGGCTTCTACCACGAGCAAACCAGGAGCGATCGTGATGAGTACGTCAAGATCAACTGGGAGAACATGTCTCCTGATATGGCCTACAACTTCCAGAAACAAAACACCAACAACCAAAAGACTCCATACGACTACGGCTCCATCATGCACTATGGAAGAACAGCCTTCTCCATCCAGCCCGAGCTGGAAACCATCACTCCCATTCCTGATGAGACGGTGGAAATCGGACAGAGGCAGGGAATGTCCAACACCGACATCCTGAGGATCAACAAGCTGTATGGATGCTGAAGATGAGGAAGATGAATAGTAATGTCTTTGCTTTCTGGTGTTTAAGTTCTGAAATGTGTAATTGTGTTGGGAAAAATAAAGTTGATCAAAGTACAAAACAACTTAAGGTTTTTTATATTGTTTGCCATTTTGAGTCTGAACATAAATAAAACATTTTCTCATGAGAGCCAGATTCATACTAAAGAGGACAAGATTTTGAGAAAATACAATTTAAATTACAGTCTGTTTTTCATGTAAACAATCAAATTGATTCAGAAGACTTTGAATAACGCACATGAATCACAAATTGATTACTTTCTTTTTTTTTTTGGAGCTGGACAATGATAATCACCATCCACTCATTCTTGTGTTTCACAGATTAAATGTTATTCCATTTTGGAAAGACCTGACAATGAGAAATTACAGTGTTTTTATTTTGGAGCCAACTGTTACTTTATGTAATTATTAAAATATATACAGTATCACTTATTATTAATTCATATATGGGAAGCTTGAAGCCATATTTGTATACATAAATTTTTTTGTTCTTAATTTTTGCAATTCAAAAGTATAGAGAAGATAACAGAATAATGCAGGCCTACTATACAAAAGTTAGTCATCTTTTTTCTCATTGTTCATTATTAAAAAAAGTAACTAAAAGAAAATACAGATTTTTTTCAATAAAAGCCTAACTGCTAATATTGTAGGTTTCTGTTCAGTTTCACTGGTAAATACCAGAGAAAGTAATGCATGTAAATTGTGTATTTTTTCATTATTAAACATTGTGTTGGAGAGACCTTGAAGTCGTCTTCCATCACTGTTTTTATTGGGTTCTTATTGCTCTTATGCATTTTATAATATTTACGTAGGGTTTGCTGGTTGATGGCAGGGTCTTAAAGTGTTAGTTCACACAAAAATGAAAATTCTGTCATTAATTACTCACCCTTGTGTCTTTCCAAACCCGTAAGACCTTTGTTCATTTTCGGAACACAATTTACGATATTTTTGATGAAATCGGAGGGCTCTCTGACCCTCCCATAGACAGCAAGGTAACTACCACATTCAAGGTCCAGAAAAGTACCAAGATGATCGACAAAGTAGTCTGTGTGACATCAGTGGTTCAACTGTAAAGTTACGAAGTTACGAGAAGAATTTGTTTTATATAAATGGTATGTTAAAATTAATAAGAGTGGGAATGATGTGTATAAGATTGCTGTCACTAGTAGCAGGGAGAACTACTTCTATTTCCACTTGAGCTAACATTTTTAATAATACCAATTTTAAGGGCTCCACCAGTGTTTTGTGAAACAAAATAATATTTAGATAGATCTCCAATCTAGAGATGTCAATAGTACAACTGACTGTAATGGAAAGTTAACTCAAGAAAATTGCAAATCACTAAATCATCAGAGTATTTCATTTAGATCAAGAAAATACACAATAGACATAAGGGTGAACATCTGAAGAACCAACATCTGAAGGACCAAAGAAACATTTAGTCCAATTATTATAAAGCATCCAAACAACTGATTAAAATACCTAAATTAGAAAACAAAAATATACAGTTCTTCTGAAATGGAAAGTGTTTTTTTATTATTATTTTTTTTTTCAGTGCTCAAAGTTCTGTGGACCCTCTTTATATGCTACTGTTTTGGGACACGAAGAAAACAAAAACTACAGCATATCTAATTTAGTGTTAAAGCCAATATATAATGTAAAGTTAGTTGTATTTTCTGTTTCTGCAAGGATTTGGACTAACAGACGAGGTCAGAGTTTCCTCCCTTTAGTTACACACATTGTCTCTGGACACTAAGACCCTACACATAATCCCCCAGCAGACCCACCTACTCAGGTGAATATAAAATACTGACAGAATACCTCACAGACACTAAAGCTCACACAGGAGCATCCTGTTGAAGATGACACATTTCACACAATCAATGCACAATATCAGTAATATGTAGATGAAAATTGGTGTAAGGCTATGTTTTTGTCTTTTGATGGTGTTGCATTTCTGAAATGTGTGTTGGGAAAAATAAAGCTAAACTGCAAAACAAACTCACGTTTTTTTTATAATTCAATGTCAATTTTAAGAAAATGCTTGATTGCAGCATTGAAGTGCTGTATTATTGAGGAGAAATTATGTTTTTTAGTGCAAGTTCTGTCAGGAAGACTCTAATGCAATGTCATTCATTATAACAGGCTGGCCAATCACTGCTGGGCACCTGGAGTATATAAGCACTGAACTCTCGGTTTCATTTTTGCAGTTGATGATGCTGAGGTTCCCTATACTCAGTCAGGGAATCTGTCCCTTAAAAACTTTAGCCCAACATTCATAATTACTGACATACAGTTTAAAGGGGTCCTATTATGCTCTTTTACAAAGTCTTGATTTTGTTTGGGGGGTGTATTAGAACAGGCTCTCATACTAGGTTGTTCGAAAAACACATTATTTTTCACATATTTTACATTATTACAACACCTCTCTCCCCAGTCTGGCATCCCGAGCTGGAAACCATCACTCCCATTCCTGATGAGACGGTGGAAATCGGACAGAGGCAGGGAATGTCCAACACTGACATCCTGAGGATCAACAAGCTGTATGGATGCTGAAGATGAGGAATAATTAAATATGTATCATGGGTCTTTGCTTTCTGGTGTTTAAGTTCTGAAATGTGTAATTGTGTTGGGAAAAATAAAGTTGATCAAAGTACAAAACAACTTAAGGTTTTTTATATTGTTTGCCTTTTTGTGTCTGATCATAAATAAAACATTTTCTCATGAGAGCCAGATTCATACTAAAAAGGACAAGCTTTTGAGTAAATACAATTTAAATGACAGTCTGTTTTTCACGTAAACAATCAAATTGATTCAGAAGACTTTGAATAACGCACATGAATCACAAATTGATTACTTTCATTTTCTTTTTGGAGCTGGACAATGATAATCACCATCCACTCACTCTTGTGTTTCACAGATGAAATGTTATTCCATTTTGGAAAGACCTGACAATGAGAAATGACAGTGTTTTTATTTTGGAGCCAACTGTTACTTTATCACATATTATTAATTCATATATGGGAAGCAAGAAGCCATATTTGTATACATACATTGTTTTGTTCTTAATTTTTGCAATTCAAAAGTATAGAGAAGATAACAGAATAATGCAGGCCTACTATACAAAAGTTAGTCATCTTTTTTCTCATTGTTCATTATTTAAAAAAAGTAACTACAAGAAAATACAGTTTTTTTCAATAAAAGCCTAATTGCTAATATTGTAGGTTTCTGTTCCCTTTCAGTCGGTCACTCCGAGTCACGTCGGTGACCGACGAATTGGGATATCGCTTCGATAGACCAATCTACTTCGAGTGTAAACTAAACGAGCCAATGCACATTGGCATGCAATTATTGCATCCAGCTGCCGCTGATCACAGCGTGAGTATAATAAGGCAGCAGGTGCAATGCATACCAGCTTTTCGCTTCGGAGCCGAGCGACAACGTCGTTCTGCTCAACTGTGTCTGTTCGAGAACTACGAGCTCAGCACGCTCTCGGAAGCTTCATGTGTTGGCGAGACGGCGCTTCAGCGGTGGTCGTTCCAGTGTCGATTAGGTTGCGCACTTCAGGCTGCACTACCCCTGTCGTGTTGCAAGCGGCCATCTCCCCTGTGCGCCTCAGCACTAAAAGAGCATTTCCTAAAAGAGCAAATTTCTCTAAAAGAGCTACACGGGTGCGTCTTTATAAAGACGACGGATCGTCCTTATAAGGATGCCGTTTCACCCGTGAGTTTCTGGGTGCGGTCATTACCTGGCACCGGGTGATGGTCACGATCGCTGCCTCACGTGTCTGGGCATCAAGCACGCTGAGGTGGCCTTCGTGGATGAGTCATGTTCTCATTGCGGGAAGATGACCTTATATAAATGGTATGTTAAAATTAGTAAGAGTGGGAATGATGTGTATAAGATTGCTGTCACTAGTAGCAGGGAGAACAAGTGGATAACAAGTAATTACTGACTCTGTCATAATGGCTTTAGGACAATGAAAAAAACTTGTTGTTGAGTCATGATGGGTTCCCTTCTCCAACTCAAATCTGAAGACCTTTGTTGTACTGAGATCCTTTAAAAAAGTCACTCACACTCATACTCTAGCAAAATGAAAAAGGAGAAAACTACTTCTATTTCCACTTGAGCTAACATTTTTAATAATAGCAATTTTAAGGGCTCCACCAGTGTTTTGTGAAACAAAATAATATTTAGACAGATCTCCAATCTAGAGATGTCAATAGTACAACTGACTGTAATGGAAAGTCAACTCAAGAAAATTGCAAATCACTAAATCATCAGAGTATTTAATTTAGATCAAGAAAATACACAATAGACATAAGGGTGAACATCTGAAGAACCAACATCTGAAGGACCAAAGAAACATTTAGTCCAATTATTATAAAGCATCCAAACAACTGATTAAAATACCTAAATTAGAAAACAAAAAAATACAGTTCTTCTGAAATGGAAAGTGTTTTTTTATTATTATTTTTTTTTTCAGTGCTCAAAGTTCTGTGGACCCTCTTTATATGCTACTGTTTTGGGACACGAAGAAAACAAAAACTACAGCATATCTAATTTAGTGTTAAAGCCAATATATAATGTAAAGTTAGTTGTATTTTCTGTTTCTGCAAGGATTTGGACTAACAGGCGAGGTCAGAGTTTCCTCCCTTTAGTTATACACATTAGTCTCTGGACACTAAGACCCTACACATAATCCCCCAGCAGACCCACCTACTCAGATGAATATAAAATCTTGACAGAATACCTCACAGACACTACAGCTCACACAGGAGCATCCTGAACATCTCTACACACTGAGACGACATGGACACAACAGCCTCCCTCTCCATTCTGCTGCTGCTGTTTGGCGTCTCACAGGCGAATTAAAAATGCATTGTGCCTGTAGATGAATAGTAATGATGGTCTTTGCTTTCTGGTGGTCTTTAAATTCTGAAATGTGTTTGTGTTGGGAAAAA